GCTTAGCCGGTTAGAAATTTGCACACTTTCTTTAAGATCTGTATCAAGAATTAGTACACCAATGCCTGCTTCTCCATAAGGATTACAGTAGATTGTAAATGGAGGGGAAGAGAATTTCATCTTTATATTTGGTAGAAAAACCCACAATGTAAAAACTAGATTTATTGAAAATGAGAGGAAAGAAGAGGAGAGCTGAGGAGTGGAGAGAAAAGGAGAGGAGAGGAGAGGAGAGGAAAGAAGAGGGAAGGAGAGGAGAGGAAAGAAGAGGAAAGAAGAGGAAAGAAGAGGAAAGGAGAGGAGAGGAGAGGAAAGGAGAGAAAAAGAGAGGAGAGGAGAGGAGAGGAGAGGAAAGAAGAGGAAAGGAAAGAAGAGAAGAGGGGAGAGAGAGAGAGAGAGAGAGAGAGAGAGAGAGAAGAGAAGAGGAGAGAAGAGAAGAGAAGAGAAGAGAAGAGAAGAGAAGAGAAGAGAAGAGAAGAGAAGAGAAGAGAAGAGAAGAGAAGAGAAGAGAAGAGAAGAGAAGAGAAGAGAAGAGAAGAGAAGAGAAGAGAAGAGAAAAGAAGAGAAGAAAAGAGAAGACAGATATGTGAGGTATGTGAGTGAGCAAGAGCATGTGCCTTTACTCCCTATGAAAGTGGATTTTCCCAAACCTATGTTTGTTAGAGTTTCCCTTACCTGTCCCGGCAAGTCAAATATCAGGTAGTGTCCCTCCAAGGCCCGGATCTTGTTGAGCAGCCAGGGTAGATTTGCCTCCAACATTTCCATGCAGAAAACAAGACCTCCATTTGGCCCCACATTCTTGGTTGCCATCACCTCCTCTACCTGGATTAATTCACTGATATCAACTGCTGCTTCATATGGGAGGACATCATTGGCTGGATCTGTCAGGTTGAAGGTGTCAATATCAGGAGACCATTTACATTTCTTTATGGATTTAAAGGGCCAATGAAGCACCACATTAACCTACTGATGCTACAACTACATGTATGCCTCCAGTGATATCAATACAGATGAAAACTTCTTTCTGAAAATTCACAGATGAGACTTTAAAGACCAAATTATTTACTTGTTGGTACTTGAGCTCTTACAAATCCATAAGAGCTCTGAAAATTCAAGGAAAACGATAAAGAGGTGAGATTTTACAGACCAAATTGCTGACTCGTTGGTAATTAAGCTCTTATGAATCCATATATGTGTAAAACAAATTTCATAAAAAAAACACAGTGGATACCTGGGGCCCTTGGGTTAAATAATTACAGTTTCTGATTTTATCTTAAAGTTTTACTCTTCTTTTCCTTTACTTTGTCTCTAATGATGAATAGCTAATCTAATGAAACAAAAACAATCACCATGGTAATTTCCATATTCTTCTTCCAACTTTCCATCATAATTTTAAGGTTTTCATTTTACTATGGAACTAATTATATGATAATGCAGTTAGAGGATGAAAATCAGATTAAAATAGCTACTCTGCTTTTGTACAACTCTATCAGAAGCTTTTAGGAGGAAAAAAGGCAATTCCTTTTTATAATTACAATCCATCAAAATACCTGTTACAGCATCCTCACTCACCAAGATTGATGATGGACACTTTGCGTCCCAGACTTCGCAAGAGCGAGGCCATAGCCTTACAATAGGTGGTCTTGCCACTTCCTGGTGGACCCAGCACCACTTGGCCAAACTGCACCACCATCTGGAAAAGCATCAAGTCACTTCAGTCTATACATATCACATTCATGTCCTAGTACTGATTCGTCTCCCCTGCATGAGTGGTGATCGGAGAGGCAGTGGCTACTCAGAGAGAATTTATAGGCACAGGTGGAGGTGGGAGAAGCAAGGTGGAAAATGTTGGCCAGTGAGAGAAAAGAGAGGCTGGGCTTGGAGGAGAACTCTACTGACTGGATGATTTTGACATAAAAATTATATGAGTGGGAAATACAACATAAAATCTTCATGAAGAAATGAAGATTAGCATGTGGTAAAAAAACAAAAATAACACATGATCTTTACCTTCCTCTTCTGATTCACCAACACTTATTCTTCAACAGGGCTTCACCAACGGCAGATATTGTAGGAAAGTCAAGGACCGGAAGTGTAAGTGAAAGTAGCAGAGGACGTGGGACTTCTAGTTTCCCTGCCAGTGATCGAACTGCCTGATTTCCCTCCTCCGACTCTACTCCAAGAATACACCTACAAAGTTACAATAAAGATTTAAAAAGGGTGTTTAAAGATGTCTGCACTGAATATGCATTGGGTTCTTGTACAGTTCCCTACAGTTCCAACTGGTACACCCTTATGGCATTTTGTCTGGCAATACATGCATAGTAACCAGTGTTCTGTGAATGAAATGTTTTTGTTTTTAACCTAACACTGACAGGTGAAGAAAATAAAGATTCTACACTCTGGAAATTAATGGAAATGTGCAGACTTCTCATTATAATAATTACAATAACAATAACAAATATTTTTTTACTTTGGGTCCATTATTTAGAATATATTAGGAGGAAATTCCAGAATTGAACTAAGTCACTTATGAGATAAGTGGAGGTTTACCCTCTTTAAAAGGCAAAGGGAAAAACAAATGCAATTTTATATCCTACCAAGCCTGCACAAATTCATTTAATTATCTCAAACCTTTGCCTTTTTTATTACGACAGACTGGATTTTTCGTGGCTCATATCAGTGCTCTGTGGGATGGCACCATTACTCAAAACTATTTGAGTCAGACTGATCATTCTCTCTGTGTGGTGCAATATTACTATGAAATTTATAGAAAGCATTAGCAATATGATTTCTTTTACTACAGTCTTCATGACCATAATAAAAAATATGATTTTATTAAAGCTCAGATCAGAAAAAAGTATGGTAAGCATAATTATATTAAGAAATTACAATCCATGACATGAGCATCTGCCACCATAAAGTAGTATTGAGTTATGGCGTAAGGGAAGTTTAGTAACAGGAATTATGCCTGAAATGACTCAAACTGATGACCACATACACACACATTTTCGAAATAAGAATAAAGTAAAACAAGGGGTGTTTTATACACAAGCAAATAATTTAATGACCCCCCCCCCCCACAAACTCTCTCTCTTTCTCTTTCTTTCTTTCACAAACAACACACAACACACACACACACACACACACACACACACACACACACACACACACACACACACACACACACACACACACACACACACACACACACACTCTCTCTCTCTCTCTCTCTCTCTCTCTCTCTCTCTCTCTCTCTCTCTCTCTCTCTCTCTCTCTCTCTGTGTGTGACTATTTCTATGCAGGTGTACAATAGTAGATCCAATTATTATATACACTCTTCTCACAGATTTCTACAAAAACATTTCTACTATAAAACAGAGCAACCAGACTCTTAACTCACTTAATGTCATACACAGCAAGAGCGCTTAGACCTAAAAATCCGTTCTTCTGTGCGGTGTCCCGATGAATGCTGTACAGGTTTCCAATCTTACCACACTGAGTTACTGTTATAAAAACTCGATTCCTGAAGGAGAGATTGAAACAAAATTATCCCACTTGTCAAAAAGATAAACTTGTTCTTATTGTGAAGATTAGCATTCTTACTGTGGACATATGAAAATGAGCAGGAAAAAAAAAAAAAAAATCTAAATACTACATGCTGCCAAAGTGTGAACTGCAAGTTTCAAATGTTTAATCAAAAACATATGCCACAAGGATGAATTTTGGAAACAGTGATACAAAAATCCTCAAATTCAAATATCTAAAAAAACAAATATAAATCTATCCTCACTCTACCTGTACACAATGATAGCAAAATCGGTGTGGACGCCGTTAATTAGGGATGCGAAAACTTTTGACGCAACAGAAGCCGGTCGCTGACGATCGTTTGCAACAAGAGGTCTGGGGGCGCTCACTGTGTTGTCTATCAATGATGCCATAGTAAACTGAAACCAAATTTGAAATGTTTTAACTGATGTTTGTTTAAAATCTCATGCACACAAACTTACAGACCTACTTCCCATGCTC